ATGTCATGTAATGCATAGTGTTAAAAGTTAAATTTTTAGAAAACTGGCCTCCAAAGGTGTATTTGAATATATAAATAGACATAAATACATATGCGGTCTTAACCTGAACAATTTTGAGCTTGGCTAAATATTTAATGACCTTATATAAATTGTCCACTTTGAAATGTGAACTGGTATACATTTAACAGTTGTACGATTCTTAGTTTGACCTTTATGAAATTTAGAAACCATTACTTGAAACGGCCAAAATATCAATATGTGGACAAACCCTCTGCGGAAAAATTTTAATGAATATTTACTATAGAAAGTACAAATTCATTGGTTGCCAGGGGATTATTTAATTTGGTGGTGATTTCACCTCCATAAAATAATTAATTAACTGATATGAATTATTCCACGGAAATCCAACATTAGATGGATTCATTAATAGAGCCGAAATATTTCATAAAAGATATTTCTAACAAAACCATCGATAGTGACAAGGATGGAGGGGAAAATTGGAAAACATCGATACTACCGATAGTGCCATCGATTGTTTGCCAGCTCTACATAGGTGTGCGATATATAAATGTAATTTAACTTTCTGATAAAATTTAACTGGAAAAATTTTAATTATCAAGTAATAATAAAATAAATACTATGAAATAAAATAAAAAAAGTAAATACAAGTATTTTTTAAGCACAAAATCAAAATCAATAAAAAATATTAAAAATAAAAATTTTAATAAGCCACAATAACATTGACAAATACACAGTTTAGGAAGAGCCTGCCCATGATACAAATAAAATTATAGTTTAAAAAACTAAAACCTCCCTATTATAATTGCCATTCGTACTGTCATCAGGTATGTGTAATGTGACCAACTATTTCATAGCTCAAAGAAGTTTAGGTTAGGTTGGGTTAAGTTAACGCCGCGAGCCGATTACGAAACTTCGAATGCGGCTAATTTCGATCCCTGAGAGCTCAGAGTTTGTTCACAAGGGCGAGCCAAAATGTTTCCATCTAAGCCTCGCGAAGGTTGGACAGTCTAAAAGAAAGTGTGGAGATGATTCCACTCCAACTTCCTCTTGACAGCTTATACAAAAGAATCAGTCTCTAGTCAGTTTCTAGTCTCACCACATGAATACCAATCGCACCTTTCGTACCTTTTCCTCAATGTTAGGCTTCTACGACAGCCGTCGTTGATCGCCCACCTAGTTACCTGGTTCAGGTAACCTTGAACTAGATCAAAAAGGGTGTATAGAAATCGTCCCTTAACCAAAAGTTGCACATCATCACATAGGCGATCACTCGACAGACCACTTTTCCAGTTCCTCTAGAAGGTCGTTTACAACCGCAATCCAGGGCAGGGGAGAGAGAACACCGCCTTGAGGAGTGCTGCCATTGACTCCCCTACTCATCGCGACAGTTCTGTCATAAAGTAAGCTTATTAGGTTGGTTTCAACCCCCAGATTATGAATATACTTGACTATTAAATCTGGAGTGACATTGTTGAAGGCCCCCTCGATATCAAAGAGGCCCCTGCTGCATAAACTTCCTGCGTGAAGGCTTCTTCTAAGGACTTTACCACTGTGTGCAGGACGGTATTTACCAACCTTTTCTTGCAATAAGCATATTGAGCTCTTGAAAGACAGTGACTGATAGGCCTAAAATCCCTAGGAGAAACATGATAACCTTTTCCGGCCTTCGGGATGAACGCAACACTGACTACCCTCCAAGCCTTGGGGACGTACCCGGTTCTCACGCATGGATCCAACCAATTGCACGAAACCTTCAGAGCCATTTGCAGCTGCGCAGACATGATGCCATCGGTCCCCCGCGACTTTAATGGTTTGACAGAATTTATCGCCCAGGCCATGTGACGAATGTCCAGAAGAAAGTAAAAAATATCGTAAAGAAGTACATTTGACTGTACTTCGAAGTACGAAGTACAAGAGCGAAAAAAAAGTACTGTACTTCCGAAAGAAGTACGATTGGTCACATTAGGTATGTGACTTGAGAAAAGAAATCGCTGCATCTTTTAGGCGCATCAATATTACATAGTTACATCCCGAGCTAATAAAAGGAAGGTAATAATAAAGTAGTTTCATTGTCACTTTTTCGTTGCCATATTAACAACCTGACAATTAAGTAGATTGTGACATTTCGTGCTACCATATCCAATATTAAAAACCATCCAAATTTGTTATACATTTTTTGGTTATTTACAAACATTTTGTTCTAAGAACCGAAATTTGAAAAAGAAAAAGGTATATTGTTGGGTACGGCTCGGTTACTTGTACAATAATTTTGGGTTAATGCAGACATGGGCACTTTTTTGCCCGCGCAGTAGCGAAAATGCGAGCGCGGGCTGGAGAAAGGGAAAAACAGTTTACGGGAGGAAGGGTATAAAAAGTTGCGTAAAACTATTTATATCCCACCGCCATCATGTTCATCGCAGTACGGCTGCGGTATAGAGATGCCAAAACATCGGAGCACTATCGATAGTATCGATGTTTTAATTTTTTTTTTTTAAACATCGATGTTTTCTTTACTATCGATGTTTTTAGAAGATATGCCATCTTAAGAAAATGTATCCGTTGCTGATTTGTGGTAAGCAAGAAATATAAAAACTAAAGCGAAGGTTATAAACTCATATTTTTTTATAGTTTAGCCGAATTTTAATTGGCGTTGGTGGTTAGCAAGGATGGATAAATTCGTAGAAAAAGCACCAAGAGGTAATTATAGTTTTTCATGATAGTGCGTATTTATTTTTATGTGTGAGTTCGTATACAGAGAAACATGTCAACCGTTGGAAGTGTCAGCGACTCTGACGATGAATGCAGCAATAACACTAGCAGAATTGGCAAATCAGATGTTTGGAAATTTTTTGAAAAGATTAAAAATGGAACGAGCGCTAGGTGCAAAGCTTGTGGAAAAATTTATAAAACTACCGGCAACACATCGAACCTCAGAGATCACCTCAGGCGATTGCATCCTACTATCAAATTATGTGATTTGCCCAGGTCATCTGGTAGCATTTTGCCATTCATTGAAAACAAATATGATAAGTTTTCTGCTCGCAAAAAGGCTATTGATAACGCAATTTCTGAGTTTGTTGCCTGTAGCATTCAACCCTTCAGCCTTGTCGATGAGAAAAGCTTCCGAAAATTAATAAATGTGCTGGACCCTCGCTATGAGGTGCCGTCTAGGACGACGTTGAAGCACGTGCAGATGGAGAACCTATTTGATCAAATGAAAGCAAAGTTGTCTTCCACTCTGGATAAAATTGAGCATCTTGCCATTACAACAGATCTGTGGACATCGCTGGCGAGCAAGTCCTTTATCACCATCACGTGTCATTTTGTAGACGAAGCTTTTATTTTACGATCAGCAGTGCTTTCAACAAATATTTTGCTAGATGAAAGCAACCATTCAGCACAAAATATTGCTGACACAGTGCGCTTGGTTCTGGATAAATGGAACATTTACCACAAAATTTCCGCTGTTGTCACCGACAATGACAAAACAATGATTAAAATGTGCCAAATTATACAAAAACGACATCTTCCTTGCTTCGCGCATACTCTAAACTTAATAGTTCAAGAAGCTCTTAAGTTGGATTGCATTCAACCGGTCGTTGTAAAATGTAAACGCATCGTTACGTTTTTCAAAAATAGCAACATAGCATACGCGAAGTTTAGAAATGCACAGCAGCCAGGCAAGGTATATAGCCTAAAACAAGAGGTCCCCACCAGGTGGAACAGCGCCTTTAGCATGATTCAAAGAATTATTTTGACCAATGACTCAATTGCAAAAGTTTTACTGGGCACTCCAAAAGCACCTGCACCCCTGACAGCGGATGAAGTTGCCATTTTGAACGACATTGTTAAATTGCTGTCACCGTTTGATAATGCCACGGTGAAAACATCTTCATCAACCTCGGTCACAGTTTCGCTCATAATTCCAATTGTGTGTGGACTCTGGGATACCATGGACGGTTTAAAGCTCAAATTGGAAACCAAAGAAGGCTTCAATATGTTGGCTATTCTAATTGACTGCATAAAACGAAGACTGTTGGAGTATGAAAGACGTACAGTCACCAGATTTGGGACTTTACTTCACCCTCGATTTAAGAAGGAGGGCTTTCTTTCACCTCAAAATGTGTCAGAAGCCACGAAGTTGCTGGAAAACGATATAACTCTTCTAAACAAAAATGTCCATCCAGCTAATGAGAACACCGAGCCGCCAACTCCAACTGAAAGTCCAGGCCATAACCAGCCACTGTTTCAGTTTCTCAAGAGGAATATTGCCAAAAAAATTAGGACCGATAGAGTGGACTCCATTTTAAGCCTTCGCAACTATTACGATAGTCCAAATCTTCATGAAGATTGTAATCCTCTTGAGTACTGGCATGTAAGCATATTAAGTTATAATTTTTATTGTAAAAAAAATATAATTATCTTATTTTTTAGGGCCTAAGTGATAACGAATCACTGAAATCTTGTTGCAAACGTATCTTATGCATTCCATCGACTTCAGTTGAGAGTGAAAGAATTTTTAGCAAAGCTGGAATTGTTGTTAGTGATAAGAGGGCTTCACTAAAATCGTCAAATGTAGACAAAATAATTTTCATTAGTAAAAATTATTGGTTAATAAACAAGTAACTGCTGGATGTAAGTGCTTAGGGAAGTGATTACTCACAAAAATGGTCCTGTCAGTGCCATTCGATCTCTGATAGGGAAAATTTAAGACTAAAAATACTAAAGTGTACCTTGCATTCTTGCCTTAAAGAGCAAATTTTTTATTTATTTAATAAGACATTAAATATAACACAAATGGATTGTGATGTTTATTTCTCATTTTATTAATGAATAACTTTCATATTCAATTACTGAATAACTTTATAATAATAAATCTTATTTCTAAAAAATTATAATGTTTTTTAATTGTTCTTAATTGCAGCTTTAAATAAAAAGTTATACTTCCCAAGAAAACCCGATAGTATCGATACTATCGTTTTTTTATGGGCAAAAACATCGAAAAATCGATAGTTTCAAACATCGATGTTGTTGCAGCACTACTGCGGTGATACTGACTTTGTGTACCAAACAAAGAGCATACCTTTTCCTCATATATACAATAAGCCATCGTTCGGACTTCACTCCGATAGGAGTAGATTTGTTCCGTTTTGTCGAAAAAAGTTGAAACCTAGTCCTCTACTTCGCTCGACTGAAAATCTGCTCCGTTACTCTTCAAATAGAAAGGAGGTGGGGTTTTTAATAGCAAACTAAAAGTTATATTTTACCTTTTTAACGACACGATTGTTACATTGGTGAGCTACAGCAACTTTGCAAATACACTTGAATTCGTGAATAGGCCCTCACAATCGCCCTATTTGAACCGGATCGAAAAATATTGCTCTGTCTAAAGTTCTGTAATTGCGTCGTTGCCCACCAATGTAACAATTGTCCCGGCAAAGAAAGAATGAAATAACTTTTTATTAATTTTAACCAAGGCATTTTAACTTTAATGATAATTGCTCCCTGGATTAAGGCGCCTTTACACGGGTCGATTTTCTAGTAGATTTTTGTCGTTCAACCAAAATCGACCCGTGTAAATGACATCTCAACCACTAGCTGGTCGATTTTCCAGTCTACAGATATCGACCCTTATAAGGCCGCTTTAGCTCCTTATTTGTACAAGGATACGAAGAGAAATGAATTGTTTTTTATAAAGATAAGAAATGCACATCTACTACGAATACTTGATATTTACTTCCATTTTTGTAGTCCGAACCCAGCAAAGAGCGCTCGGTGAAGGTCAGCTAGTGATCAAATTTGCCAACAGGGCTGCCAAACATACATAGCTATGAAGTGCCATATTGAGGACAAAAAAGTGCTAAAACGTGCCAAATAGAAAATTAAAAGTGCCAAAAAAGGTGTCATTCTCTTTAGTTCTTCCCATTAGCATTAAAATTAGACAAACAAGAAGAAAACAAAAGCCCAATGTCAAAGTAAGATAACCGAGTTGTATACACTATAGAAATTAGAAAATTTTAGTTGAGAAAAAGAAGTACACGCAAAGGATTTCACAAAAATGTATTTAAATTTGGCTTTTTTTCAAAAGTGCAATTTTGGCACTTTGTGCAAAATCGAAAAAATTCAGTGCCATTTCAAGTAAAATAGTGCCAAATATGGCACGGTTTGAGCCAAGTTGGCAGCCCTGATCGCCAAGTTTTTTAAAAATAATAGCTCAATTTTCCCCCCAAAAAAGCACCAATTTTGTGTTGCTGTGTTTAATGGTATTTTCGCATATAAAGCTGTATGTTCAAATATTTTAAGTAATCACACAATGAAACTTGTAAATATTTGCAACTATGCACAGTTAATCAATTTAATAAATTTAATTTGCAAAATGTTTTTTTATTCGTAAAACAATTTCCAAAACTTGGTTTTTCTAGAGGCTTTATTTTCATGCAATTGCTTACTTTTGTACAAATGCGCACACCCAGCTAATTAGCAGAATATTCTATGGATTCCGTGATAGAGACTGTATGGAAATATTGCGTTTGGATTATCTTGGAGCATATTATCCAGAGGAGAAGCTCGGCCAAACACTAACATATGTGTAAGTCAAATACAATGTCGCCATAGAATCACGTTTTTATTATAAAATTGCCTTGAAAAAGGCACCAAAGAACAAAACAAGCGCTAAACTAAACAATTTTCGCCTTTTAATTCCCTAAACGCACTTAATTTCTTGCGAAAGGCACAAAGTTGGCAACAGTTATATCGATGTCAAATTTGCTCATATACAAGCATGGACATAGAGTGAGCGCCTGCTTAAAGAGCGTAAGCATCACATGCAAATACATGCGAGAGCGTAACAAAGCGAACGCAAATTCATTCAAACGTAATTGGCACACTAAACAATCACGCTTTCAGCTCGCGTTTACTTGTGGTAGTGATCACATCTGCTCACACGATTGAGAGAAATAGAGATTGCGCCAATCGCGGTACCGCTAATCCGCTCTTTGTGATTTTGACAGAATGAGCTGTGTGCGTGACGTCATCTTGGTGCAATTGTTGAATGTGAGCATACGAAAAAACCAAATAACAATTTTAATATTTGTGCGGTAATATTTCTGCGTGGTTTCAAACAATTATTTAGACATTAAAAAGCAAAATGAAATGGCAAAGTGTAATAGTGAAAACAAAAGGAAAGCGTATATAAGTTTTTTTTTCGTTTCCTACGGACGCAAACCTGGCGAAAAAGTGGAAGCAGTTCTGCCGGGGAGGACATGCATTAAACACCAAATCGAGCTTTTGCTATGTGTGTGAGCTATGAGCTTCTACATGGAACTATGTTGGCCTTTCCTTGGTGAATTGTAGTAGGTGTATTTACATGGTGAATGTAGACAGTTGCTGGTTTATTTTGCTGGCAATGGCATACATACAAAAGCAGTTTCTACAGTAATAGATACATGAACTTCACTACCTACTTATTTTTGTTAGTACCTGATTCTTTTAGTGCTGGTATGAGGTAATGCACCAGTGAATAAGGTCGCCAGGCGCTAATTCAAGCGGCATCTTACCGCGCTGTTACGTACCTAATACAAAACAGTGCCCAAATTATTTTACATTTAAAAGTTCAGCTTAAATTGTATTTTACTGACATAGAATATTTGCTTCCAAAAAAGCCACACTCATGCATCCCCTCGGAAATGGTACAAAAGTCATCAAATAAAAGCTGTGGAGTTAATGGTGGTTGGCTACCGTCCACAAATATAAATATGCACTCTGCATGTCTTTTTAAAATGGCAAGTCCTAAAATTCACTTTGCTGCACACCTTCCTTTTGGTCTATATGAAACTGCAAACACTGTTAATACATACATTTTTTCATGTGCTAAAAATCGTACTTATCTAAAGGGCTACATGTCCATAATTATTGCTACGTGTTCCTAATTAATCAACCTTTGTATATTTATTGATTCCTGCAAAAATGGGTCATGTAACATTAAAATTAACACAATTTTCTGCATTGTTTACATATTTTTATATGAGTTTTGGCATTTCTCTGTCGCGATTGCACCAAGATGACGTCACGCAAAAATTACGCTCAAAAATCCTCTCTCATTGGCGCAATCTTGTATTCTATCATTCTTGATCTGCTCATATACACTCCTCGTCATTTGAATTGCACACCCTTTCAATTCTTAGTATTTACAGTTTTCCGTTTGTTTATTTAATATAAATTTTTTGTAAAAATATCGTCACTACATACGAATAAGGGCGCGCTGGTGTTTTGACGGTGAAAAAAAGCGTTTAAAAAAATTTTGCGAAAAAAGATGCTTATAAAAAACTTTGGCGAAGTATGTTAAGAGTATTTGACGCTGAAATTTTTTTATGCGTCTTTTTTCGCCGTCAACTTTTGAGCTCGCGGCTTTATTCGTGTCTAGTGACGATATAGCATATTCTACGGGTAAATGCAATTTTAAAATTTTTTACAAACTAAAACTTAAAAGAAAGTTTATTTTCCATTTCTTGGGCAGCATTTTATATGATTTTTTCGTTTTTCTCGAGATTTGGAAACAGTTCTTAAAAAAGGTCAACATAGGAGTGTGCCATCCTAATGACCTGCAGTGAATAAGTTAATAATATTTTTAGAAAAATTTCTGATATGCAGTTTTGTAGCCCATTCAATTATAGCGTAATTAATGGCAAGTTTGAAGTGACTCTAAAACAGCCCCGATTTTTCAAATTCATTTATTTTTTATCGACAGTGCTGCGCATTTTATTCCGTATAAAAGTTTTGTCGAGCATAATTGTCAAAAATCACCGCTATTTTACAGGCACTTGAAACTTGCACTTTATTGTACCCCTTTGTTGAAATTTTTTTAACTCTGCATAAAGTTTTAAAATCGGATGTAATGAATATTAAATAAACAAAATTAAAAGTGTAAATACTAAAGATTAAAAAGTTGAGCTATTCAAATGACGAGGAGTGTATGTGGCGTACGTTTGGGAGAGTGAGCCTTTTTACTCCAGAATGCGTGTGCAGTGGCTCTCATTGCTATACGTGTATTAGTAAGATTTGTTGCCCCCTTCCCGTTTGCTCATGATTTTGCCCTGATCTAGCCCGCGAAATGGGCTCGCTTGCCCATACGGGCAAAAAAGCCCATACGGGCAAAAGTGCCCATGCCTGGGTAAATGTATCCAAATGCTTAACAAAAAAAATGCCAAAGCAAAAAAATTTGACACACACGTTTGGTCAAACGATTATACGTTAGTTTAAAATAAAGATTTCTAAATTTCGGATACAAGTTATTAAAAAATACTGTGGCCAGCGTAGTCGGAGTGGGACTTACATTTTCTCTGCCAAAATTCTAATTTTACCCAATTTTTTAATGGGTCCGTCTGCGCTTGCCACCCCAAATCCATTGAACAAATAACCGAATATTTCTCCTTTTGTTTTCGAAAGAGAACAGGTCTAATGCTCATTAAGTTGATAACTGTGTTTCTAGTTTTCATACTAACAATAAATCATCAATTTTGTTTCACACCCCCTCCAATGTTAACAGTAAAATATATTTGTTTTTACCCACAGAAACAACGATGTTGTCGAAATATACTAGAATCAGATAATACTCACTTCTCTGAAAGCCATGAGGCCCATGGGTCCCAAAGTAAATTCCGTTTTCAAGTTACTTGAAAGACATGGACAAAAACAATATCGAAATTGTGACTTCAGTATCTCAAATAGTAATAGTCCTGGCTAGCTACATTCTGAATAATCAGATGACATAATGACACTAAAAAATTTTAAAATATGTTCACTAAAATTTTATTAATGTAAAAATAAAGATTTTAGCAAGTAGTTATCGAATTTAATGTAAAATGTAAATGTTTTTAAGAAAAGATATTAATTATTTTTAAAAGGTAAATGTTAATACAACTATTTTATTTA